AGAGCAAGGTCATTTAACTGAGTTCATATATGACAGGTGTCCTGCATACTGCTAGGATCAATGCTATCGATGTCATCGATGGTGAATTTAAGAGTTTCGTAGAAAAAGTAGTATATATCTTGTACAATGTATGTATGTCCTTTATATATTGTTTGTGCACCTATATTTAGCTACCTTTTAACTGCGGTAGGAAGAACAACACATCTGGCTTTCCATGATGCATTTCTTATCGTGAGTATGGACGAATTTTGTGGGTGTTCCAGTGGTGCGCAACCCGATGGAGTTCAGCCTGACTGGGTTACATAAAACACCATCGCAAACATTCTCTAAAAAAAGTAAAATGTATTAACACTTCCTAGTTCTCACTAACTGGTGCAAAATTTAAAGAGGTAGAAAAAAGTATATTAAAAGGAGAAGTATATCTATCTAATATAATATGTAATAACACATTCAATTATTTCACTATTGTCATTTCATTGCATGATATGAAAGGTAGATATTGCGCTGTAGTTGGTAGTTTCTTGGTTTGACCGGTCTATAATGGAGCGAGTAAGGAGGGGGAAAACTGCAGTGTAACATATAATATGAGCGGACATTTTGCTCATTGCACGGATTTTTGGTTTTTCCTGCAGGGCTCTGAAAAATCAACTACACACCTGTGAAGATATCCGCATACATATCAGTTAAACCATCACACAAGGTTGGACTGTATGTAAATACACACAAACGCCAGATACAAAGAATGCGTTTTTAGGTAAACTTACACATGCAGTACATCAGAGTCGTCAAATAATCCTTGATCTCTAAGTTCCTAGAAACACAATTAACATCTAAGGTAAGACCACAATGCCTCAATCCTTTTCAATCCACAGCAAAAAAGAGGTCCAGAATGTTAAATAAGAAATAAAAAATAACACTGAAAAAAGCCAATGCACAAGGGAGACTTAAAGTTCGAAACAATTCACATTAACTTAAACAATAACATAATACAGCATTGAAGCCGAATGCAAGTAAACCGAACTGACATATGACAAAAGGTATTTCACCACAAAAACAGTGTAAATTCGTAACAAAACTGGTTTGCCACTGAAGTGCCATACATGAAACTCTTACAACCAGCGAAGTCGTCTTGAGAATATCTGCATAGAAACCTTTGAACTCCAGCAACAAACACATTCTCGGTTCCACAATCACCTCTAACAGCAATAGGGGCTCCTTGCCAGGACAAAATGATATCACAAGAGTCACCTCATGAATAAAAGATATTCCAAAACATGATTTCACTGATGCAAAACTAACCTTCAATTTGCTCTACACACTCCACAAAGTAGTTACCAACAACACATGGGTCATTGTTGGTGTGTGCCACATCAAGCCACAATATTTTTCTGGAGTATCTGTAGGACAAAATTTGAAAACATAGCCTCTTTATTCTTAATTAATATTCAAACCTACTAAGATACAGAGGTTTGCTGTCGGTTGTTGTTTCATTAATTCCTGTTAGCAGACGTGATTGTCTTACAAACTATAAATGGCTAATATAGCAATCTTTTCTTAGGCCCTAAGAAAAGATTGCTGTGCCCGTTTTAGAACCAACATTTCATACAGGGAAGTTACGAATTCCACAAGGACAAGTATTAATACCAAATCCAATAGGAAATCGAGCAATTCAGTTTTTAGTGGACAAAAACCTTGTACCAGAATAATTTTAAGTATATTACAGTCCCTTTTACATTTTTTAAAAGCTAGAGATATGTTAAATAGTTGCCTAAAATAACAGCAAAAACAATTTTCCATGGCTACTCAAACTTCTGGGGGATTCCTTTTTGACAACTCAATCGATATGCTGAAAGACCAGGCCCTTCAAGAAAGTTACTACTCTGTCAATAGTCTACATACCCATCAATAGCTCCATGAATGGCAAAACCAAATGGCTTCAACTTATTGTAACCATCTATGTGCCACAAAAAGTTCGGACCCTACAGTGTTAGAAAACTGGTGTTTCAAGCATGCCTGTTTATTGAGCATTTAAGAGCATAACACCTTTTTTTTTTTTTGTTTTTATACTGTCATTATCTTGGTGACAAAAGCATCTTCTAGCAAGGAACATATAACAAGACATGTAACAAGTTACATAAGAAAGTGCTTTGTGCATGGGAGTACCATAGTGGGGAGTTACGTGGTCCTGAACATGACTGATACAGAAAAAAGGAATTCAGAATAAAGGCTTTAGATCTGTAAATAGAAAGGCAAAGTAGTTATTACATTTGCGTTAAATGTCTTACTTAGGTAATGCTTAGGTAATACTCCAACCTTGCAGCAATATGTACGCCAAATAAATCTTTCTGGTTCTTCTCGACACTCCATCTGGACCGAGGTAGCCCATTGCTAAACAAACAGTATTCCTTCAGAAGTGATAACAACAGTGTAGAGTGTAATGAGCCTCTGACTGGATGTTACTGTTACTTGGCCGTGTATGTCTTAAAAAAGCAATAGCAATAACTTCAACTTTGGGATGATCCGGTCCAGGATCAGTCATCCAAGATCACTCGGATCATGTTGCATTAAAGGAACCGATGAATCTATGATCAAAGTGGATTCATCGGTTGCTTTTATGCGCCATGATCCGCATGATCTTGGATCACTGACCCTGATCCAGATCACCCCAAAGAAACGCACCCATGTATCTCAGTTACTACACTCCTCTTCCATATTTGTGTTCGACCAAGTACATACAGAACTGTAACAACAATTTAATATATATACCTGTCCACTACAAGGCCATGGTCATCTCGGAGGTGCTGATGCATTTGGTGATAGCCAACACAGCTCCCACTTCCAAAGAGTTCCATCTAAGCATTAGCAGTAATATCCACATGTTAATTAAGCCACTGCTTGTGTATATTTATACATATATAAGCTTATATACAAGACTTATGCTTACCTCAATGGCATCCACGACATTGGAAATGTCACTTTGCTGTCTTCTTCTTGACAATCCCAAAGCCTTAAGTACATGCTTTAGTTGCCTCAAGCTGTGGGTATAATTGGATATGTCGGATTATCATAACTTACCATATCATATTCAAACTACGAGGACAACACTAACCTCAGTGACACGCCATTAATGATGTATAAGAAACTCAGTATTTCAGCATACTGAAAGCTGGCATTGAAGTATTCTTTGATAGTTTCATGACCTATGATTGTTAGTTAAGGCTCAAGTTCTAACTTGCACTGACGGACTCACTGACAGTTTCAACAAGGTTTCAAGGATATGGTTGGTTAAGTTAATGCCTGATATTGGTAAATAGCTGGGAATAACCATCTTTGTTCCCATGTAGTGAGCCGACTCAGCCCGAGTCAGCTATCCATGGCCGCTGGAACTGATGCCATATTGAACTAGTGAGACAATCTCAGATAATGCAGAGTATAATTTATGGCTCTGATGCAGTAGTCACATAGGTCCTCACCAATGCTGTTCTCTCCCTTGGTAGTCTACTAATATGAACGAAACATGAGCGGGCAAAAACTTGATGAGACATAATCTTAGCAGTGTGTATGTTTCATGTTTGTGTTTTCTTTCAAGGCCCCAAAATAACTTACAATTACTGTGAAGGTGAATTAATCAACATGACACAAGCGTGGGACAAAGAAAAATTCTGAGTCCCCGACAGGAATCGAACCCATGACCTTCCGAACACCGGGTGGGCGCTCTATCCACTGAGCTACGAGAACACATGGAGAGCGAGGTCATTTAACTGAGTTCATATATGACAGGTGTCCTGCATACTGCTAGGATCAATGCTATCGAAGTCATCACGAGTAGTGATAAATTAATAAAGATAGTGAATTTTAAGCTCGGTAATGAAATGTGAAGGTGAATTAATCAACATGACACAAGCGTGGGTGCCCGCCCAGTAATAACAAAGTTTCCTTTGTCACAAATTTACTTGATTTACATGTAACTAACGCAGGAAAGTTTCAGCTGAATATGAACTGTTGGCTCTCTTTCATAGAAGAGGAAACAAACAAGCTGCTAAGGAGAAGCAATATGTTCCCATTCTCTATTTCAACCCGGGCAAAAAAACAGCAGACGACATTTATGAAAACAGCAGATGAGATTTCTTGAATCGAGCTAGGGAAGATTCCAGAAGATACACAGTCACAGTAGCGTTCTTTGCACTAAAAAAGGAGAACTGACGT